AAGAAGAATGTGTTTCTGTTTCTGCTAGATATCTTGTTGATACAGGAACAGGCGGTGGTTTATGATTAGAGCTTCAGACCAATTCTTGAAAATTAATGGAGCACTTAAGAGGGTTCTGTGCTGCTTGCAGAACACAAATTCCAAGAAAAAACAGTTTGGGTTCTTTTCTTTTTGGTGGCTTTAGCTTTATTTCAGAATGCTTTTGGGTTTCCTGTAAGTAAGCAGAGTATGCACTGAAGAATTTTCTCTACTCCTGCTTCCCTTCTTTCTCAAATGTTTTTGACAAAGACACCAGCAAATGGCAGTTTAATACCAAATGGATTTAGGGCTTCAGCCGTCTAAGAAAACAATTTGCATTGCATTGTGACATTTCTATACCGTATCTCCAGTTTGAAAGATTGGCACATATATAATTGTAATCTCTAAAATAGCCTGGTCAAATCTCATGAACTACAAATAGACTGGAATTGCAATTCCTAGCCATATGATGAGTTATACACCCAATATACTGAGTGTGTGTCTGGGGGGGTACTACATCAGTCCAGGATGATTTAAAGGCCAAGAGCAGAAACTTGTGAGACTGTCTTCTCTCTCTCTGCTGAGGCAGCCTGAGAATTTGGGGAATTTGCTGGTGAATCCTCTCTGTCTATATTGGACCTGTGTTTTATAGAGCACATTTTGAACATGGTAAATATTTAAATCTTCCCCCTTTGCTGTGTCTAGTGTTTTGAATGCCTGATCCTTTTTGCATTAGGACCCAATTTGTGGAGAAAACTACAAAAACAGAAAGCCCATTTCCTATCAAGTCACATGATCACTTTTGTATCTAAGAGTGAAAAGCTCTTTGCATTCAATTACAAAAGTGCTTTCCTTAATTTTAACTGCCTTGTGATTGATACAGATATGCCGTGTTCTGTTTATTAACTGTTTCAGTGTTACTTTAGTTATCCAATTTATATACATTGACTACAATTAGAAATGCTTTTCTACTACTATTAAAATGCAATTTCTTTAGTAAGCAAAATAGAGACTGTATGTGTTCAGGAGTTATATAGTTATATCTGACTGTAGTGTCCACTCTTACCTGAGGGTGAGTAGTATTGAACAATTGTGTGGTTGACACACACACAGGACTGAAAGATTTTATGTATCACTCAGGTTGCATCCCATATTCCTACCTCCTCAGGAAAATTCCACGGAAGACAGCGGAGCTGTATATACTCATAGGATTCCAGTGCTAATTGCTAAATTAAACAACTGGAAGAAGGGTGGGTAAAGTGGAAAGAAAAACTTTAACTTTTGATTTAGCAGAAAACATTCCTATTAAATGGTTGATTAAAAATACGCATCGACTCTGGATGTGTTTATTAGACCAAGAAGAAGATTCCATCTTTATCCAATTTATGTGTTGGTTCCTTTGTTATATAGGGTTTTTTTGTTAACTTTTGATGTTTGTGAACTTTTAATGTTTAAATGTTTTATTATTTTATATTACTGTTTTCTGATAGTATAAGTCACCCAGAGTTGTTTAAGAGTTAAGATGGGAGACATACCAATTTAACAAATAAATATCTATGAAACAGAAAACCAGATGGCATGCTGAAGAATTGGCATGGCTTTCACAAAGAAAAGTCAATCTTGTTATCTGAATTTTCTTTGGTGAGGTGATCTATCTATTGATATAGTTGGGCTTTTAAAAATATTTTGAATTGTTTCTCACTGAAAGTCTAAGAAAATGGAAGTACGAAGAGCAATGAGATTTCCTCCCCAAATTTTATCTGCACTCATGAAGTAAATTATTGTCCAAAGATCAAGCTGCTTTCTTCACCAGGTTATCCTTTTAAACATTACCCTGGGGATTGTGCTAATACCTGCATTTTTGTTTATCTAGCTGATTGATTAAATTTGTTGAAAGAAAACTGTATAAAGCATTGGAACAATTATGATTTTTATTTGGAATTAAATAGGTTTCATTGTAATGCTACCTGGCTTTTATTCTTGAATTTGTTATAAATCATAGAAAAATGTCATTTCCTCACTGGCAGATCCTTCTCTCTGAGGGTGTCTTGGTGGCATTGGGGGGGGGGGGGGGGGGGTAGGAGGAAAGAAATGAAAGCTTGCTGTTGCTGGGTGAAGCTCTTCTACCAGGAACCCTATATTTTAGCCTATATATGAGTGCCAAAGCCAATTTCACAGCTTTAAAAAATTGTAATTTCATTTTTTTAAAAAACAACCTCTTTAACACTCCCCCTCAAAAAAGGGGGTAACTATGCAGTTCTCTGTAATAGGGAGATTTTTATGACTCTTCATTTATCCAGGTATAAAAATGTTTATTCAGGAAAAAAGAGCAAAAGGAAGGATACCAAGACCAAATAATAAATCCAGTTGGTTATGTGTTACCTGAATAAAATAAATATTTCAAATAGATTTAGAGATACTGTATTTTCCAGAAAATAAGACCTATCCCAAAAATAAGCCCTAGCCTGATTTTTTTACATGTGCACCCAATATAAGCCCTACCCCCAAAACAAGCTAGTTAAGACCATGCCGGGAACTTCCGGTTTGAGCTTCTTCGACGACAGACCGAAACCTCGTCTCTGCGAGGCTTCGATCCATGCTCGCCGCTGGAGTGCCCCGAGCTGGCTGGTTTCAGGGCTAAGCCACCCCGTAGAGGTGGTGAAGAGGGGGGAGACTGCCTGCAGGGTTGAGGAGAGCCGCATCTCTCCTCCCCAGCTGGTCATTACTCCCTTTCCCAAAGGCGGTTGTAGCAGTGGTCAGAAATGGCCACCACAAAGAAAAACTCGACCGGAAAAGAATGTGCAGGAGGAAGATAAGAAGAGAAAGTTTTGGTTGACCGGGTCAAACAGCAAAAGCAACAAATAAGGTACCCTGGAATTGAAATTATTAAAAAAAAAAAAAACCAATAACATTGTTCCCTAAGAAGATTTTTAATCTGCGAAGGAGAGAGAAAAGGGAAAAGATTTGGTTTTTTTTCTCCTTTTCCTGTACTGACAGCTAATAGACTTAAGCAAGAAATTGGAAAAAAATCCACTTTGACATTAACAGGCATTTAATGCTGAAAATAAAAAGTCAAAGGGATAATAAAGATTTCTGGATAATCAAAAGCTTTTGAAAACAGGAAAGAAGAAAAAGAATAAAAGGGCGGGATCTGGAAGGGAGGAGACTGCCTGGTAATAAAAGGAACTTACAGCAAAATCTCAACAAGACTTCCAAAAGATACATCTGAACTGAAATATCGCAACAAAAACCCCAGGAAGAGAAAGAAATAAGAAGATATAACTCGGGACTATCTGGATTACTTGATGATTTCTGGATTCTTGGTTATTGTTTTGAATGAGTAAAATCAATCGGGTGGTTGTTTAAAACTTTTTAAAATGGCTCCACTTTTAGAAGAACTGAAAATGGAACTTAAAAAGTACAAAGAAGATGCACAAGAAGGGAGAGGTTCTTTTGGCTTCATATTTCAGTTTTTAGAAATGGAGATTTGGTATTATGAGAAACAACAAGAAATGGTCAGTGATTTACATTCAGATGCTTGACAGTTGGTTCATATTTATGACGGTTGCAGTGTCCCAGGGTCATGTGATCATATTTTGCAATCTTCTGACAAGCAAAGTCAATGGGGAAGCCAAATTCACTTGACAGCGGTGTTGCTAATTTAACAACTACAGTGATTCATTCAATAAATGTGGCAAGAAAAGTCATAAAATGGGGCAAAAGTCACTTAACAAATTTCTCACTTAGCAACATAAATTGTGGGCTCATTGAAGACTATCTGTATTTGCTATGTTTTCTTTTCTCAAAAATATTTGTATTTTGAGGTACTGTATTTATATTAGCATTATAAGACTTTACAATTATGTTGTAGGTAAGTTCTGTGTTGGCATGTTTGCTTTGTCATTAGGATGATTATATATTGATTAAATAGGAAATTTTCATTAGTCCCTCATATGCTGCTGAAAATGTGGAGGTCTCCTAAATGGATAGTCAATGCCACTTGTTTGAAACAGTTGAAAACTGATATGACAATCATTTTGTCCCTCCAGAAGCATTCCATTTCCAAAAGACACTCTTGGAAACCTGAATTGTATATACTTATCATCATCATCATCATCATCATCATTATTATTATTATTATTATTATTATTATTATTATTATTATTATGTTTATTATGTTTATTATGTTTATTGTTTATTGTTTATTATTACTAAATTATTTAATTTGTAGTCTCTAAACATTTTATTTAGGGTGATTTATCTTTAAAGCATATTTTCTATTCCTTTTCATCTGCCTTAACCTCGTAGTTTGGACAACAAGAAGCTGATCTAGCTGAGAAATTTTCGTGTTTTACTTTATAGATGCTTGAATTTCTTAAGACAATGTTGAACCTTTTAACCTTGAGAGAATGGCTGATCTTTCAAGTCCTTCCTTCCGAAGTGGGACGAGCTGCAAGTAGCTTCTTGTTTTGTGAGGTAGCATGAAAAATCCTGAGCAACAGAGGTATCGAGCATGAAAATCGGTGCATCCATTTCCAGAAAAGGCTACTTCTGTGGGAGGTGGTTGTTGAGTATGGAGCAATGTTTGATGTGAGAATGGCAATTTTCTTTAAAGTTTCCACTTTCTGAAATAACAATTAAATATTAATTTGATTCTGGATAAGCATGTCCAGGTAGCCCTGTTCCAGTTCATTAAAGATATTTCCTTCCTTCCTTCCCTCCTTCCTTCCTCCCTCCCTCCCCCCTCCTCCCCCCCTCCCTGAGATGTCCATTGCAGGTTAATAGGACTATGAGAATTGTGTAGAATTCAAAGTTCTGCTGTGTAGGTATATATTGTATGTGAATGCCTCTCTCTCCCCCTCTGTATTTATGTATCTATGAATAGACATATAAGTTGTCCACCCTATTGGTTGTAAACATGAAACATGAACATTATGTTTTCACTTGCTCTTTTCAGATAAAGGAAGAAAAAAAAGGAGAACATGGCATTGGCATCCTGGTTTGGATGGAATGAACCTTCCAGTCGTATTTCTCAAAGAAGCCCAATGGAAATGGTGACTGAAACCCTGATGATGGAGCTTGACTGGCAGATCAAAGAAGCTGAGAAACAACAGCGGGAGAAAGAAAACGAGTATCGCAAGATCAAAACAGGAGTTGATTATGGCTGGCTGGTTAGCTATCCTAAGCATGGCTGTGATATCAGTCCAGGGGAGCGTCTGCAGCTGGAGGATATCTGTTCCAAAATACATCCATCCTATTGTGGACCAATCATTATTAGGTATTTGCTTGGAATCTGTCATACATTGTACATAGGATGAGTGTGAAGTAACAATAACTTAATCCCAAAGACTGTTCTGGCTGGAGATTATAGATTTTGAAATGCATCACATTTAGAGCACACCAGATGCAGGGAATTGGGTAGAATATCTAGCACTGAAACTTAATTGATTTTCCCTTGTAGCTGAACTGGATTAAAAGAAGCAGAGTAAACCATTGTTTTCTATTTTTAAAAAGTGTTTATGAATAATTCAAAAATGATTCGCTGATTTCTAAATGACACATCTAGAATCAATTACTGAATACCGATTCTGTTTTGTATGTATGAAGAATTCAGTACTGAGAGCCTGTTTAGAAACTCTTTCTGGGAATAGCTTGTAGAAATATCACAAATGCAAGCAGTACATTCAAGTCCATGTTCTATTTTTCCATGCAAAAGTTTGCAGTTGTCTAATGGGTTTTATCCGGGAGTCTGATTATTATAATACTTTGCTTGGCAAAAATTTGGATAGGATAACTCACTGCCTGCTATGAATTTAACCAAGTTAACATCACTGCATATAATTTATAATGCCAAGTGATAGTTTATATAGATGGGGAAATTCAAATGA